GCAATTGCTCTCTCCTCTATCCTTTCTTTTTTCCTCTGGGCACCTTCAGAGGCTACAGGTGTGATAAGCAGGTACCAAAAAGAACACAGGGGGAGGGAGGCTCAGCTAGGCAGACGTGGGCAGTGCACCCCATCTGGAGATCAGGCGAGAGGACAGTGTGGTGCTTCTAGTTGGGGTGGTCACTGCAGAGAAGTGGGCCCTGGGTTGGATGCGTAAGCCCTTCTTATACACCTGCCGCTCTGGGCTCTCAGTATAGCGACTTTCTTAGACGTCTTCCATGAAGTTGGGTGTAAGCTTCTCATCACTGCGAGTCAGTTGGCACATGTTTCAGTAAAACATGTGTATCAGGGGCTGTCCCAGAGCGGCGGTGCTTGGAAAGGTGAGCAGAGACATCAGGCCCCTGTTACCTTCCTGCTCTGCAGAGGGCTGTGCAAAGGCCCCACTCTTCCTCCTGGCCCTGCGGTGTCTCTTGTTTTTTGAGGGCATACAGAGCTTTCTGGACAGCTGTGGGCTTCAGCCAGGCAGCTCTGGCTCCTGTACACTGTTCCGGTTTCCAGATGAATCCCCTGATGAAAATTGTTTCCTGTGAGGGGATTTCAGTCAGAAATTGACTCCGAAGGGGCAGGGGCTGCTCCGTCCCCTGACTCGGCCGCACTGCTCCCCTTAAGTTTGGGTGTCTAACGTTACAATTTGGTTTGACCCTGGCACAGACCAGGCAGGACTGACTAGGCTGGTGTGAAAAGTGTCCATAGTTTGGTGTCAGAAGTTGCCGCAGTGCCTTTCCTGTGTGATTGAGACAACTTAGTCTTTCTGAAGGATACTTCCTTCAACTGGGGTTCAGCAGAGGTGCTTTTCTCCAGGGTGTTCCGTGGAACCAGGTGGGGCACTCTTTGCTGACCTTCACCTATTAGCAGCAGTATGGGGGTGGGGTGGGGATCACCTTGCAGAGGGAGTCCAGAGGGAACCCTGGTATGCAACTGGGTAGCTGGAGGGACCTAGGCCCTTTGGCTTGAGGAATCTGCCCGTTGCTATGGAATGAGGAGCCAGAGGGCAGGAAAAGGGTGCAGGACTGCTTTTCTCTCCGTCCTGTGGGGTTCCTGCTGAGAAGGTGGGTGGGCTGGCCCCTTTTGACTCCCTTAGTCTTACTCTTCCTGGGCCTGTCCTGACGACAGTGGTCCCTCCTGCACACAGGTTGTTTTCGAGAAGCAGCCAGTCCCACTTTAGGGCCTTCGCACAAGCCCTGCCTGCAATGCCCTCTCAGCACATAAGCCCCTTTGCTCTTCCTTCCACGATAGGGGCGCATGCCCCAACAGAGGGACCATGTGAGGCCTTGCCAACATGAGTATCAGGCAGTGGGTGCTGGCAGTTCCAGCTCTTGTCACTGGGGCAGGGGAATGGGGCTGAGAGGTGTGATGGGCTGAAGAATCACTCCTACTGTGCATGGTTCATGTGCATTCATTTGGAACCAGGGCTTGTTTGTATGGTGGGAATTGACCTAGGGTACAGTTGTGTGACTGCAGAGGAAACGAAGTGGGAGCGGGAGTTTCAGCCTGGCTTTCTGAGTGCGTCTAGTGCATGCGAGCATGGGTAGGGATTTGCGTGCATGGATTTGCTTCATTATCTCCGTTCATCTAGCTGATGTCCATCCATGCTGGGCACACTGAACAAGGCTTCTTGGGGCAAGGGACAGTCAGGGATCTCCAGGGAAGATTCAGGGCTCTGGGACAGCTGCAGGACAGACACTGCCCTGAGAAAGCCTCTTCACTGCTCTCCTGGGTGCTGGCGTTTCTGGGAACCTGGAGGCTACCCAGTGCTTTGTCTTGAAGGCAGGCAGAGTTGTGTATCTGTGAGATAATGATGGGGACACTAGGAAAACAAAAATGGCTCGGGTGAGCCTTCAGGCAGAGAGAGGAGAGGGCACGTGGAGGAGCCTTTGGGAGGTGACTCCACTCTCTCCTTGCAGCTCACCTGCGGCGGTGTCAGGAGTGACTGGGAAACCCTTGGATATCACTGGTGCTGGGTCTGGGCCTGGAGGCCCTTCACACTCTGAGGTGTGGCTGGCTTCTCTCCTGCTTGGCGTTGGCACTTAATACTTGCACATCTTGGTGGGTCTGAGTCTGCATTTTCTTCTTGAACAGGCCAGAGGATTTGGAAAATTCTCAATTATGGAATCAAGTCCCTTGGAGCTAGTTAATAGTTAAGGGTGGCTCTGGGGGTCATTGTCTGCTTAAAATGTAGTGGTATGTGCCGTTTCATGCTGTGTGCTCATCTCCTTACAGATTATGTGCTTGGGGCATCTTGCATTCACAGTGGTGTGGATGGAAATCAGGAGCTAGGCGCAGGGGGCCAATCGAACTCATTATTGGGTCTGTGCCAGAGACACTGGTTCTGAAACACTGGGCTAGACTGAGTGCAATGAACAGGCACATCGGGGCTTTGGATGGTCACTGTGTTGGTCAAGGAGGAAGTACAGTCATTTTGAGAAGGGTGGCCTGCAGCCCTGCAGTGGCCAAGACCCTGACCCTTCCCCTGAGGAGCACGGGGGCCCCTCTGAGCCACTGCTGCCAGCTGCCCATGGCTGCCCTCAGAGGGCCAGAGACAGGCTAGTTTCGATGTCCAGTGTTCTCTGCCTCTGGTTTCTTCAGGGCTAGCACTTGGCTGAATTCTTTATCAACTCTTGTCTCTGAAATAATTGGGCCTTTGGTTAGTATTGGCACTCGGTTTTGGTAACAACCACCATTATCTGCAGAGCTGTGACATTTCCTGTTGGATCCCTTCAACTCATTTAATCCAGGCATGTGATGGAAATCTGAGGCTGTTCCATAAACAATTGTCCAGTGTATAGGGTTGTTCATATAGACCAGAGGCTCACAACTTATTTGACTTACTGTTCCCTCATTAAAAATCAATTAAAAATCATTCTGAAGCTCCTTGAAAATCCACCTTCTTTTATTTATTTTTTGTTTCATTTTGGGTTTTTTTGGCCACCCCCATTTTGCTCAGGGCTTGCTCCTGGCTCTGTGCTCAGGGATCATTTCCGGCGGTGCTTCAGGGCTATATGCGGTGCCAATGGGGACTCAAACCCAGGCTGGCCAAGAGCATGGCAAGCATCTTCTTGGTGCAGTTGTATCTGGCCCTGGAAACTACCTCTTTGAACAAGGTCGCAGAAGGCATCTTGATTGTTCCAGAGCTCCAGGGAGAGGAGTTGGAGTTGTCCAATAATATAGATGAATTTTGTGAGTGATTTTCCCAGAAAATGATGCTTGCATTGCCAAGTCACCTGCTTCCCGTGTTTTAAATGCTTTTCATCTGTTTTGTCAGGCTGTCCTTAAGATATTAGATTGGTGCATGTCTCAGGTTATTATTCCAAGTCATTCTTGGAGAAGGTGCTCAGAGCTCTTTGGCCGAGTGCACAGCTGGGGAAAGAGCACCTGGAGTGGTCAGGGAGGAGGGAGACAGCAGCCGAGTCCACCCTAGCGACTGATGGGGTGACAGATGTCATAGCCAGAACGCCCTTACAAACTCTTAAAAAAACCCAAAAACCAACCAACAGCAAACCTTTTTATATTTTATCTTTGCTTTTCCAGTAGCTGCAGCCAGATCTCATTGTTCATTGTCTTTCTGCTCTGAGACATAAAGGTTTGGAGCTGAACTCTGAGAAGGTCAGCGGAATCTGTGAGGCAGCCCTCAGTACTACGGGCTTGCTAGGGACTGTGGCCATGGGAGTTTGGGGGACCCGCACCCTTGGAGGGCAGCACCTGCTCCTATTGTCTGGGGGCAGGGAGCTGTGGTAGGTGAGGTCCACACCGCAGGACTGAGCTGCACAGCCCCAGTGCCACTGTGACAGGCCCTGGGAGGTCCTGCTGGGCATGTGGAAGACGGCCGGCTGTGTCCATGGTGTGAGGAGGCGCTGAGCCAGTCTGTGAGTGGAGGATGCTCCCGCCAGCCCTTCTGTGTAGTACTGTCTCAGGTCACTGGTTCAGACATGGTCTGGCCAAGTGTGGACTGTGTTGGCATCAGGAAAACCGTCGCTCTCCATTCGGCATTGGGTTTCCTGTCTTGTTCCCTTGTTTCATATTCTTGAAGTCCTGGGGACTCCAAGTGAAGTCAGGACTGCGAGGTTATGTCTGAGAAGGGTCCTGAGGTCCAGGTTGGAATGGGGGTGGGGGATGGAGAGCCAGCGTCCCCAGGTCCTGCTGCACTTTTAACTCAGATCACTCACTGGGTGTGGACTCAGGATGGTCCAGACGCAGGGTCCACAGACACAGTGGCCTAGAGGGAATTCCCAGAGAATGGAGAGGAAGGAGGCAGGTGGGCGGAAGGGCATCAAGGCCTGTGGAGGTTCTCTGGGGTCCTCCTGCCCTGCCTGCTTCCACAGGCCCTCACCCTTCCTCCTGAAATGTGGGAGTTGACTCTGACTCACACAGTTGCTGGTGCAGCTCCTGAGACAGTGACCAGAACCACTCTTCGGTATCATCTGAATGCCAGGATGGGACTTTACGCATGATGTAGCCCATTTAGACATGGAGACACGTGCATGCACAGCGGTGTGAGAGCAGAAGAGACATGTAATCTCTCATTTCAGCCTCCTTGTTGGTTAAGGTTTGAAACAGAATGAGTAGATATAATCAAGAATCCTCTTGCAGGTGAACTCGATCGATAGCCATGCTGATGGTGCCAGCACTGACAGAGATCTCCCGGGTCTGACAGACAGTTGCCTGTGCTCAGTGACTAACTGTCCTCACTGTGTCACCACAGAAGTCTGTTCTGCAGCTGCTAGTTAATAGCATTGGGTCACTTGAGGTCCTCGGTTCTCGGGGCTGAATATCCTCATTCGCTCTGGACACTAGCAGGTGATAACCACGGCAGTAGCCAGAGTGTTTGAGTTCCCATTTATGATTAAACCGGCAGCAGCTGCCTTTGTTCCCTCTCAATGGGACCTGCTGTGTGTGACTGGCCGGCGATGGGGACATCTGAATGATCGTGTTTGCTGTTTGCAGGTTCTGCGGCTTCCCCTGCCACCTGCAACTCTCATTTGTCACAAACCGCTCAGGTGAGTCTGTGTGTCTGTTTCTTTGTCCCAGTTTCTTCTCCGGTCTCTGACTTTGAATTTACCCCTAGAGTTAGGTACTACTATTTGATAATCTAGTTCTCTTTTCATCTCAAAAATTAATTGGGGTGTAGTTCAGCAGTAGGGCACTTGCTTTGCATGTATAAGGCCCTGAATTAAATCCCCCAAATAAAAAGTAACTGGGAGGCATCACACACTATATTCATGCTGCTTTTCCTGGCGGATGCATCCTCCTGCTCTTATATGCCCCATGTAGTGGGTAAATCTTGTCTTTCAGTCAGCAGCTATACTGCCATGGCTCGATTGTGAAGAAGAAAATTCTGGGAGGAGGTTCTACTAGATTCTTAATTGAAGAATGTGTCCCTGAAGGGCTGCCATCAGGGACATTATCCATTTTTTTTTAGCTCATTGTGCAAAAATTCAGATTAAAAAAAAATTTTTTTTTGGTGGGGCACACCCAATGGTGGTCAGAACTTCTTTCTGACTCTACACTCAGGGATTACTCCTGATGGTGCTCAAATGGGATGACAGGAATCGAATCCAGGTTGGCCACGTGCAAGGCAAGTGCATTACCTACTGGACTATTGCTTGGGCCCTTGATCTGATTTTTAATGTCATCAGAACCGGCTTCCTTCCATGTCTGGCTCATCGGGAGAGAAAACTCAGATGCAGGGGTGCATTGGAGAAAAGTTCATGCATCCCTCTGATTTAATGGTGGCTGTGATTGTCATGGGTTGGACATTTTCCTTTTGTCCTGCCACCACCTGGAGCATTGCAGATATGGGCCTGAGTAGTGAACCTGTGGTCCCTGTGCTGAGGGCGGCAGGACGGGAAGCCCTGCAGGGCGTAGCCATGGTTTCCCAGACCCTGGGACTCCTCTGCTCTTGACAGCGGTATCCGTCCTCCTCTTACTCCTTTCTGGGCCCGGAGCTCGTCAGTAAGTGTCTCTCCCAGGGAAGTGAGGGTCCTTCCACTGCCTGCTCCGCTTGCCTCAGGGGGTCTCATTTCCTGTGGTTGCTTCAACACTCACCCCTCAAGCTGCAGGTGGACAAGCTGGTCTGTCTCTGCTGGCATATTTCCTCTCCCCAAGGTGCTTCTTGCAGCTGTTGACTGACACTCAAAGCTGGGACAGGTGCTCTGTGGCTACTGCTCTGACCTTCCTCCTGGCCAGGCTGGCCCAGAGTCCGCAGCTTGCTGGCCAGCCTCTTCTTAGTTTTCCTGACTGCTGGCTTGCCTTGTCCCAGCTGAGCCTTGAAGGAAATGAAGACTTCTTCCCTCTAGAGGGAGGAACAGTTGAGAGAGGAAATTTCAGGCCTTGATGCGTGTCCCCTGCCCTGTGCCCAGAGATGGTGACCTGCACGTCCTGTGTGGCTCCTGGCCCCGTCTCACAGAGTCCCTCTCTCCAGGTTGCCAGCTCTGAGTTGCACCATGGAAAACAGCCACGAGCTGGACCTCACTTACATCACTGAGCGCATCATTGCCGTGTCCTTCCCTGCGGGCTGCTCGGAGGAGTCCTACCTGCATAACCTGCAGGAGGTCACGCGCATGCTGAGGTCCAAACATGGGGACAACTACCTGGTGAGTGGGGGCCGTGGCCGAGACGGTGGTTGAGCAGGTATTAGCTGCCCTCGCCCCAGGCACCGTGTGGGGGTGACTGCAGCCCACCCACCTCTGACCTCTGAGTCCAGCAGCGTTTGCAGGGTTTTGGCGTGCACCAAGAATTGTGCAGGGACTCCTGTCCCCTTGGACGTGACAGGGAAGCGTCACTGTTCTGCAATGTGGCTGCCCCACCATCACCATGTGGGGGACCCCCACCCTGTCTTGCTTCCCCAGCTCCAGCACACGGCCTCAGACTGTCCCCCTGGCTGGCAGGCAAAGTGCCACCTCCCTCCTGTAACTGGAGGGTCATGTGAGTGTCCCAGAACCCGGTGGCTAGTGCATGGGTCTGAGGAGCAGTGTGGAGGGCGCTGTCTCATGCCAGGATCTGCCACGTGTGCCCCGGAAGACCTGGTATCTGGTGGCGGTGGCACTGTCCTGCTCACTTTCTCGTGTGGTGATCCCTGTGGGGTGAGTCAGCCTTCGGTCTGCCCTGACCTCCCTGTGAGACGCAGCTCGTCTTCCCCCTCTGTCCACATGTTCGTCCCAGAGGACTGCATGGCCCTGTCAGACTTCTGCAGCCTCTGTTGGGCCTGAGCTGGTGACCATGGCCGGCTGGAAGAGCTGTGGCCCTGGGTTCCTCTGGGAGGAGGACGTGTGTGAAGGCCCACCCGGCCCTGTTCTGAGTCTCCACTGTCCGTTTCTTAGAACTTTGCCCCACCCCCATGCCTTCCTGGGTAGTCACCTACTCCAGTCCACAGAACTCTGATCACCCACAGTCCACAGAGACCCTGGCAGGGCCCAGGGCTGCCATGTACTGGGCTAGGGTCGGCCAAAGTTCTTTCCAGACCATTCAGGGCCTCCTTGGGGCAGAGTGCCCTTGCACCGTCCTGTGAGGGAGAATCATGGTCTGTTTTGAAAGAAAGGCTGAAACTGGGTTGTGCATCTCCTGAGCTGCGAAGCCTGTGAGAGTGAATCCCCCTCAGACCATGGCTAAGAGGATGAGGCCCGCTCAGAAGGGAAGCTGGGGCCCTTGTTTAGTGGCGCCATGGCTGGGGCTTCTCTCCACTCTGATCAGCATCTGGCTCTGAAGTGACGGGGGCCTGGAGCTGGATTTCTACCCCCCTCATGCTCCCATGAGTTTCTCTTTAGCTCGCTCAGGATGTGCTTCGTCCGGGCTTGGCGCGTGCGCCCTGCTCGGCTGTGCGTGTTGGTGACTCAGCAGGCTGTGCTCTGTGCCCCTGCTTGTGCCGGGTTGCTCCTGGGCAAGCTAGACTTCTCTTGCCACCTGGAAATGCCTGTTCTATTTTGTGTTTATTTCACGATAATTACATTTCTATACGTTTCAATTTTTTGCAGGTATTAAACCTTTCAGAGAAGAAGTATGACCTGACAAAGCTTAACCCAAAGGTATGGACGTGGCAGTTTTGTTCTGTTTCATAAACTATCCATGGACATTGTTTCTGCTGCAAAAGCTTCAAACTTTGTGTGATGTGACTCAGTAGTAGGTTAAGGGTTGGTCCTGGTAGGGATTCTTGTTTAAATGAAATACTGCTTTTTTGGTTTGAAATAATTATAAATTCACAGGAATTTGCAAAATGAACATAGAGATTTCCCTATATTCTTGACTAGGTATCCCCATGGTCACACCTTGCATGTTCAACAGTAACATAGCAACATCTGGAGTGCCAGAGAGTTGAGCCTATGTTGTTTGCAAGCAACCTACCCATTGTACGAGTGCAAAAGCCACGAATTGCATTCAGCCATGGGAGTTTTATGGGGGTAGGGGGTTGGGGAGGAGGGAGAGAGAGAGAGAGAGAGAGAGAGAGAGAGAGAGAGGGAGAGAGAGAGAGAAGACCATTGGGCAAGCTATGGTATCTCTGTTCGCACACAGTTGACCCATGTACTTCAAGTGTTTGAACTGTGTAGGCCTATGTTTATGGGGATCTTATAAGCAGATATCATAAACTTAAGGTATTGATAAATAAAGGACAAAACTGCAAATGTACGTTTTTTAATGATTTCTCTCTCCCTCTTTTGGGGTTGGGGGACACACCCAGCAGTGCTCAGGGATCACTACTCACTCCTGGCAGGCTTAGGGGACAATATGGGGTGCCAGGGATTAAACCCGGGTCATCCACATGCAAGTGCTACCTGTTGTGCTGTCACTGTGGACCCTCTTTATGATTTTCTTGATAATGCTTTCTTTTCTCTAGCTTACATTATTCCATGAGTACAATAATCTTGTATTACAATGCAAAAATACTTGTCTTTAGCTTTTAGTTGGCAAGACTTAGTTGTTCAAGATTATATTTATAGTATAGAATAATAATACTATAATAATACAATAATATAGTATAACTATATTTCATATGTTGAAATATTTTCCAACCATTATGATAAAGCAAGTAAGAAAACAGGGGCTAGAGAGAGTACAGCGGGTAGCCTTGCATGTGGCCAACTAAGGCTGGGTCTCCAGCACTTGGAATTATGGTCGCCTGACTATACCAGGAGGGACCCTGAGCACCAAGCCAGGAGAAGACTCTGGCCCCCCAAACACAATATTCACCAAAAACAAACAAGCAGTTAGTGGCCTGTTTTAATGCTAGCTGAACGCAGGATTTATGCTTCATGTGCTTCAACTGTGCCAAATTTTGACTTAGAAGTATTTCAAAGGGATTCAACAATGTTAACAACTATGACCTCAAGGAAGTGCAAGGGGGTTATGAATTTTCCTGCTTTCTGGCAGTTTTCTGTGTTTTCTGTGAATTTATGCTATTTCTGTTGCCTTTATGTTAAGGTTCCTCTGAACCCTTTAATTAGAGGGGACAGGAAAGGGAGTAGTGATCAAAAAGTGTCCTAGGATCTGCATGTGCAGGTCCGGATGCTTAGAACTGCTAGTCTCATGGCAGATCCACTGAACTCTTCTCACATAACTCATGTCAGACCCACTGAACTCCTCTCACACATGACTCATGTCAGATCCACTGAGCTTCTCTCATATATGACTCATGAAGGTACACTGAGCTTCTCTCACACATGACTCATGTCAGTCACACTGAGCTCTTCTCACATGAGTCATGTCAGACCCACTGAACTCCTCTCACATATGACTCATGTCAGTCACACTGAGTTCCTCACATGACTTATGTCAGCCACAGTGAGCTTCTCTCACACTTGACTCATGTCAGTCACACTGAGCTCCTCTCACATGACTCATGTCAGACCCACTGAGCTCCTCTCCATTGACTCATGTCAGACACATTGAGCTTCTCTCAGACATGACTATGTCAGTCACACTGAGCTTCTCTCACATGACTCATGTCAGTCACACTGAGCTTCTCTCATGTGACTCATGTCAGTCACACTGAGCTCCTCTCACACGACTCATGCCAGACACACTGAGCTCCTCTCACATGACTCGTGTCAGTCACACTGAGCTCCTCTCACATGACTCATGTCAGACACATTGAGCTTCTCTCAGACATGACTATGTCAGTCACACTGAGCTTCTCTCATGTGACTCATGTCAGTCACACTGAGCTTCTCTAACATGACTTGTGTCAGTCACACTGAGCTCCTCTCACATGACTCGTGTCAGTCACACGGAGCTCCTCTCACATGACTCATGTCAGACACATTGAGCTTCTCTCAGACATGACTATGTCAGTCACACTGAGCTTCTCTCACATGGCTCATGTCAGTCACACTGAGCTTCTCTCATGTGACTCATGTCAGTCACACTAAGCTTCTCTAACATGACTCATGTCAGATCCACAGAACTCCTCACATGATTCATGTCAGTCACACTGAGCTCCTCTCACACGACTCATGTCAGACACACTGAACTCCTCTCACATGACTCATGTCAGACACATTGAGCTTCTCTCAGACATGACTATGTCAGTCACACTGAGCTTCTCTCACATGACTCATGTCAGTCACACTGACCTCCTCTCACGTGACTCATGTCAGACACATTGAGCTTCTCTCAGACATGACTATGTCAGTCACACTGAGCTCCTCTCACATGACTCATGTCAGTCACACTGAGCTCCTCTCACATGACTCATGTCAGACACACTGAACTCCTCTCACATGACTTGTGTCAGTCACACTGAGCTCCTCTCACATGACTCATGTCAGACACACTGACCTCCTCTCACGTGACTTATGTCAGACACATTGAGCTTCTCTCAGACATGACTATGTCAGTCACACTGAGCTCCTCTCACATGATTCATGTCAGTCACACTGAGCTCCTCTCACATGACTCATGTCAGTCACACTGACCTCCTCTCACATGACTCATGTCAGACACATTGAGCTTCTCTCAGACATGACTATGTCAGTCACACTGAGCTTCTCTCACATGACTCATGTCAGTCACACTGACCTCCTCTCACGTGACTCATGTCAGACACATTGAGCTTCTCTCAGACATGACTATGTCAGTCACACTGAGCTCCTCTCACATGACTCATGTCAGTCACACTGAGCTCCTCTCACATGACTCATGTCAGTCACATTGACCTCCTCTCACATGACTCATGTCAGACACATTGAGCTTCTCTCAGACATGACTATGTCAGTCACACTGAGCTCCTCTCACATGACTTGTGTCAGTCACAGTGAGCTCCTCTCACACGACTCATGTCAGACACACTGAGCTCCTCTCACATGACTTGTGTCAGTCACTCTGAGCTCCTCTCACACGACTCATGCCAGACACACTGAGCTCCTCTCACATGACTCGTGTCAGTCACACTGAGCTCCTCTCACATGACTCATGTCAGACACATTGAGCTTCTCTCAGACATGACTATGTCAGTCACACTGAGCTTCTCTCATGTGACTCATGTCAGTCACACTGAGCTTCTCTCATGTGACTCATGTCAGTCACACTAAGCTTCTCTAACATGACTCATGTCAGATCCACAGAACTCCTCACATGATTCATGTCAGTCACACTGAGCTCCTCTCACACGACTCATGTCAGACACACTGAACTCCTCTCACATGACTCATGTCAGACACATTGAGCTTCTCTCAGACATGACTATGTCAGTCACACTGAGCTTCTCTCACATGACTCATGTCAGTCACACTGACCTCCTCTCACGTGACTCATGTCAGACACATTGAGCTTCTCTCAGACATGACTATGTCAGTCACACTGAGCTCCTCTCACATGACTCATGTCAGTCACACTGAGCTCCTCTCACATGACTCATGTCAGACACACTGAACTCCTCTCACATGACTTGTGTCAGTCACACTGAGCTCCTCTCACATGACTCATGTCAGACACACTGACCTCCTCTCACGTGACTTATGTCAGACACATTGAGCTTCTCTCAGACATGACTATGTCAGTCACACTGAGCTCCTCTCACATGATTCATGTCAGTCACACTGAGCTCCTCTCACATGACTCATGTCAGTCACACTGACCTCCTCTCACATGACTCATGTCAGACACATTGAGCTTCTCTCAGACATGACTATGTCAGTCACACTGAGCTTCTCTCACATGACTCATGTCAGTCACACTGACCTCCTCTCACGTGACTCATGTCAGACACATTGAGCTTCTCTCAGACATGACTATGTCAGTCACACTGAGCTCCTCTCACATGACTCATGTCAGTCACACTGAGCTCCTCTCACATGACTCATGTCAGTCACATTGACCTCCTCTCACATGACTCATGTCAGACACATTGAGCTTCTCTCAGACATGACTATGTCAGTCACACTGAGCTCCTCTCACATGACTTGTGTCAGTCACAGTGAGCTCCTCTCACACGACTCATGTCAGACACACTGAGCTCCTCTCACATGACTTGTGTCAGTCACTCTGAGCTCCTCTCACACGACTCATGCCAGACACACTGAGCTCCTCTCACATGACTCGTGTCAGTCACACTGAGCTCCTCTCACATGACTCATGTCAGACACATTGAGCTTCTCTCAGACATGACTATGTCAGTCACACTGAGCTTCTCTCATGTGACTCATGTCAGTCACACTGAGCTTCTCTAACATGACTTGTGTCAGTCACACTGAGCTCCTCTCACATGACTCGTGTCAGTCACACGGAGCTCCTCTCACATGACTCATGTCAGACACATTGAGCTTCTCTCAGACATGACTATGTCAGTCACACTGAGCTTCTCTCACATGACTCATGTCAGTCACACTGACCTCCTCTCACGTGACTCATGTCAGACACATTGAGCTTCTCTCAGACATGACTATGTCAGTCACACTGAGCTCCTCTCACATGACTCATGTCAGTCACACTGAGCTCCTCTCACATGACTCATGTCAGACACACTGAACTCCTCTCACATGACTTGTGTCAGTCACACTGAGCTCCTCTCACATGACTCATGTCAGACACACTGACCTCCTCTCACGTGACTTATGTCAGACACATTAAGCTTCTCTCAGACATGACTATGTCAGTCACACTGAGCTCCTCTCACATGATTCATGTCAGTCACACTGAGCTCCTCTCACATGACTCATGTCAGTCACACTGACCTCCTCTCACATGACTCATGTCAGACACATTGAGCTTCTCTCAGACATGACTATGTCAGTCACACTGAGCTTCTCTCACATGACTCATGTCAGTCACACTGACCTCCTCTCACGTGACTCATGTCAGACACATTGAGCTTCTCTCAGACATGACTATGTCAGTCACACTGAGCTTCTCTCACATGGCTCATGTCAGTCACACTGAGCTTCTCTCATGTGACTCATGTCAGTCACACTGAGCTTCTCTAACATGACTTGTGTCAGTCACACTGAGCTCCTCTCACATGACTCGTGTCAGTCACACGGAGCTCCTCTCACATGACTCATGTCAGACACATTGAGCTTCTCTCAGACATGACTATGTCAGTCACACTGAGCTTCTCTCACTGACTCATGTCAGTCACACTGACCTCCTCTCACGTGACTCATGTCAGACACATTGAGCTTCTCTCAGACATGACTATGTCAGTCACACTGAGCTCCTCTCACATGACTCATGTCAGTCACACTGAGCTCCTCTCACATGACTCATGTCAGACACACTGAACTCCTCTCACATGACTTGTGTCAGTCACACTGAGCTCCTCTCACATGACTCATGTCAGACACACTGACCTCCTCTCACGTGACTTATGTCAGACACATTGAGCTTCTCTCAGACATGACTATGTCAGTCACACTGAGCTCCTCTCACATGATTCATGTCAGTCACACTGAGCTCCTCTCACATGACTCATGTCAGTCACACTGACCTCCTCTCACATGACTCATGTCAGACACATTGAGCTTCTCTCAGACATGACTATGTCAGTCACACTGAGCTTCTCTCACATGACTCATGTCAGTCACACTGACCTCCTCTCACGTGACTCATGTCAGACACATTGAGCTTCTCTCAGACATGACTATGTCAGTCACACTGAGCTCCTCTCACATGACTCATGTCAGTCACACTGAGCTCCTCTCACATGACTCATGTCAGTCACATTGACCTCCTCTCACATGACTCATGTCAGACACATTGAGCTTCTCTCAGACATGACTATGTCAGTCACACTGAGCTCCTCTCACATGACTTGTGTCAGTCACAGTGAGCTCCTCTCACACGACTCATGTCAGACACACTGAGCTCCTCTCACATGACTTGTGTCAGTCACTCTGAGCTCCTCTCACATGACTCATGTCAGACACATTGAGCTTCTCTCAGACATGACGATGTCAGTCACACTGAGCTTCTCTCACATGACTCATGTCAGTCACACTGAGCTTCTCTAACATGACTCATGTCAGACCCACTGAACTCCTCACATGATTCATGTCAGTCACACTGAGCTTCTCTCACACGTGACTTATGTCAGACACACTGAGCTCCACTCACATGACTTGTTTCAGTCACACTGAGCTTCTCTCACACGTGACTCATGTCAGACACACTGAGCTCCACTCACATGACTTATGTCAGTCACACTGAGCTTCTCTCACACATGACTCATGTCAGTCACACATGACTCATTTCAGACCCACTGAGCTCGCTCACACATGACTCATGTCAGACACACTGAATCTGAATCCTCTAACATGCCTGACTCATATCTGACACAATAAGCTCCTATCACACACACGACTCATGTCAGACCCACAGAGCTCATGTCACACCTGACTCATTTCAGAGCCATTGAGGTCTTCTCACACATGACTCATGTCAGACCCACTGAGGTCCTCTATATGGAACTCATGTCGGACTCAGTGAGCCCTCTCACACATGATTCATCAGACCCACTGAGCTCCTCACATGTGCTATGACTCATCAGACCCACTGAGCTCCTCTCCCACATGACTCATGTCAGATCTGTGAGCTCTTCAGCACAGCACAGAATTCTCTCTGTGATGTGCTGTGATCAGTGTTGAAGGTTCTCCCAGAAGATGTTTGTTCTAGACACGTGCCCTCTGGCTGCTCCCAGATGCTTCCTGGGCATGCCTTCTGCATTTCTCCAAACTGTGATTGCGTCTTTTAAGAGGAATTTGGCAGCAACTATGGCCAAGAATTTGGCTGGGAGTCAGGGGCCTGGAGGGTAGGGTTCCTGGAGTCCCCTAGGGTTCCTGACAGTCAGTCACCATCCTTATATGCCCCACAGGCCAAAGGGCTGGTTCCATCTGAACCCTGATCCTCACAGAGCGAGAGACTACACTCGGAAATGGAGGATTCGTGGCCTCTGACCTGGGGACTGGGCAGCTGAGCAAGGGGAGGCCGGGCGCCTGGAGCCTCACACTCAAGCCTGCATCTCAGAGAGAGGTCATCGCCAATCTGAAAGGACTCGTGCGATGCCCCTGAGTCCTGTGGTTCATACACACCTGAGAGAAGCAACAGAGAGTGCCCAGGTCCCAGGAAACAGCAGAGTCCCCGATGCAGAAATGCTCTGGAGGACCCCTCAGGCTCTCTCTCACTCAGAGCCCCGGAGGCAGAGGGTCTCCAGGATCCACCTCAGAGACACATGCAATGACACCCCAGTCCACAGGGCGATGGGCTTGAGTCTCTTACACCCCATGACCCTATACCTGGAGCTCAGATCCTGGCCCAGAGTCCCCCTGCTCTCTGTGTGGCGCCCCCTGTGGCTGCGGGCGGTAGTGCAGTCAGGCAGGGCTGGGCAGTGGAGCTGTGAGGCCCAGGGACCCTTTCTCAAGCATTCAGTTGTTTGCTTCCATGGAAAGGAGATAAAGCAGGAGAAGGAGGCAAAGGGGAGCAGCTGTGACTCTCTGCCAGAGAGGGAGTAGAAGGTGCCCTGACCAGTGAGAATGGACAGAGGAGTGGAATTGCTCCATGGGACATGGAGCAGGAGGTACATGAACGTTCTGGTGGAGCGGCTGCTGGACCGTGTCAGAACGGGGGAGGCTGCGTGAGCCTGATGGAAGAAGGGTCCTCTGTATGCAAACTCCTAGCCCCTTCCCTAATCTTGCACCCCCAGAGTGCTGACACCTGTCCCTGCAGGGCCTTTCTGAAGCCCTTCTGAATGTGACCAGGGAAATGTACTTCTTTTTCTTTCTTAAGAAAGGAAAAGAGAAGAAAGGAAAACAAAAGAAAAGAAAGAAAAGGTAAAAAGGAAGCCCCCATGGGCAAAGCAAGAGGGATTTGCAGAGGGCGGGTGGGGGGGAGGCAGAGGGCGGGTGGGGGGGAGGCACAGCTGACGGGGACGCGGGCGAGGAAGCCTCGCTGCGAGGCGGGGCGGGATCTCTTGGGGGCGGGGCCTCGGCCGCGCGCAGGCGCAGGCGCAGTCAGGCTCAGGTCGCCGCCTCCGCGCCACTGGGTCGCCGCTGCGCGTGCGCAGAAACTGCGCCGCGCGCGCCGAACCAGGTCCCCGCTGCCGCCGCCGCCCCCGCTGCCGCCGCCGGTACCTGCCGCTGATGCTCCCCGGCGCTCCTCTCGCAGCGCCTCGCTCTGTCCTCTTGTCCCCCGGCTGCGGGACGCCCTCCCCGGCCTCCGAGCTGCCGCACCGCCCTCCCGTCCTCAGCGCTTCGCCCAGCGCCCCGGGAACGGCGCCGCCCCCACCCCGCCAACGGCTCCTTTCCGGACGGTCCGGTTAATCCGCACTATCAGAATTACTTAGTTTATTTTGCTTTTTGGGGGGTCACACCCGGCGACGCTCAGGGCTTCCTCCCGGCTCTGCGCTCGGGAATTACCCCGGCGGTGCTCGGGGGACCCTGTGGGATGCTGGGAATCGAACCCGGGTCAGCCACGTGCAAGGCAAACGCCCTCCCCACTGTGCTCTCACTCCGGCCCCCCAGAATTGCTTTACGAATTTTAGTTTTGGGGCCACACTCTGCCTGCGTGGAACCACTCTTGGCGGGCGTTGGGGACCATGTGGGGTGATGGGGCTCCAACCTGGGGTCGCCATGTGCACGGCAAGTGCCCTACCCACAGTGCTATTGGGGTTTTTCTTTGTCCCAGAATTATAATTTGAAACAAAATCATATTGTAGCCGGATATCTTACACTTTTTTCTACATGTGACCTCATTTCACCCAAGGCACTTATGCACAATCCAGGCATATCAAACATTTAGTATCACGGTGATGGTCACGGTCCTCCCGTTGTTCATCAGTTTTTTCGAGCGGGCCCAGTAACATCTCCATCTCCATAGTAACTTCGTGGGCTGGAGCAATAGCGCAGGTAGGGCATTTGCCTTACAAGCAGCCAACATGGCCGACCCGAGTTCGATTCCTCCGCCCCTCTCAGAGCCCGGCAAGCTACCGAGAGTATCTTGCCAGCACGGCAGAGCCTGGCAAGCTACCCGGGATGTATTCAATATGCCAAACACAGTAACAGTAAACATTTAGTAATAATTACAAATTTATTGTGAAACTCGTTTTGCTACATTTACATTTGGTTATGCAACCCCATACTGTGTCATGACCATATGGGACGATGATCTGTTTTAAGAAGCTATGCTCTATAGTCATATCAGTTTTATTGGGTGGTCCATTGGCTATGTACTTGCCTTACTTGGAAACGAGAACTTGATTGTTCTCTATTTTGTTGTAAGCGGACAGATTGCGGTATTCATTCTCTTTTAGTTATATATATTTTGCTTTTTCTTGGGTCACACCCAGCGATGCTCAGTGGCTACTCCTGATTCTGCATTAAAGAATTACTCCTGGTGCTCAGGGGACTCTATGGGATGCTGAGGATCGCCGTGTGCAAGGTATATGCCCTATCCGCTGTACTACCGTTCCCACCAGTTAATTTTTTAGATTAGAGTTTTGTCTTGATATTTCTTGATAATATAAAATTGGAAGTCCTAAACAAAAATGATTTTTTTAATTTAAATTTTTCTTCCTTTACAACTGAGAACACTTCTGATAAGATTGATGCAACAAAAAATAGATGCCTGTATGTTCACTGAATAGTGAAAGATTTAGCTATCTAAGAAAAGCTATCTGATATAGCCCTTAGGTAGTATTCAAATGGTTTAGAATAAGTACAATTGATTATGATGCATATTTTAAAAGTGTTAAAAACCTTTAATTATACCTCTGCCAAGTTTTAAAATTGCTGTACTTAACACATTTTGGAGGCAATTTTATGTCACCTTCAGTGTTTAATGTTTATTTAAAGCAAGGCATAGGAATAGAAGAAGAAACAGGCGGCTCTTACTTGTTTTTCCCCTCTCAGTGTGGAGAATTTTCGGAAACTATCACAACTAGGTAGTATACTCTGTCTCTTCTGAAAAGTAACCACAGACACGTATACTTGTTTTTATTTGTAGTGCCAGTCCTCCATCTGGAAGTGAAGAGGAAGCTGCTGAAAATGGTGTACCTAAACCGGTAACATAAGGCTTTGGAATTCAGTCGCTTCCGTATTTAAAATCTGTAGATTTCTAGTTAAGAAGAAAGTCTAAATTTAGCTAGACTTTGGAGTATCCTGCACAATCTGGTTGTCAGGTATTTTTATTTGATGCACAGTGAAAAGAAATAGTGGGAAGGTATTCAGATGAAATAGAGTGTGTGCGGAGGTTTATTGCTTTCATTTGAGTTCTGTTAGATTATCACAGTTCTTTTAAAAAATAATTGGTTTTTTTGGTTTTGTTTTTAAGCAAGATGTTATTTATATGTTGGTCTCTGACCTCATTCACCTTCAAAGTGATGTTTTGCAGGATTAATTTACCATGGTCTTTTGGAGATTTTAATATATTCAATTATGGAGCGATAGCACAGCGGGTAGGGCGTTCGCCTTACAAGCGGCCAACATGGTCGACCCGAGTTCGATTCCTCCGCCCCTCTCGGAGAGCCTGGCAAGCTACCGAGAGTATTTGATATGCCAGACACAGTAACAACAAAGTCTCCAATGGAGACGTTACTGGGCCCGCTCGAGCAAATCGACGATCAACGGGAGGGCCTTTACTTTTTTTACTTTATTTCTATGAAACAAGGAGATTGGTACTCTGCAGGATTAAACTTGTCCTGGTAAAAATGTTTTTCCTAGGTTCATGTTTTTCCGTCTTTTTCAGACTCTGGCCCCTTCCAGCCTTTTGTTCCACATGTGGCCTGGTGGCCTGCCCTCTCCTGCTAATGGTCCTCTAGTCTCCTACTTTCTCCCACCCATGGGAATTCTGCCCGTTGCCCCTTGGAACATCCTGGTCTCATACTGTCTCTTATTGATAAATACTGGTTTAAATGGTGCTTTTTTGAAGTTAACTAATAGGATAGTATGGACAAAATAGCTGTTTAGAGCCAGAATAACACTTTCCTAAGTATGCTGATGTTTTTTAGTTTTTCAGATAAAATATATTCCCAGTCATTATGTGGCAAGACCTCTTCTAGCTATAAATGAATGCCATGACTGGTGAACTCTTTGGTAACATTTTGTTGCTTTTCAACCTAACACTGTGCCCAGTATGATTTTTTTTTTCTTTTCGGGTCACACCTGGTGATTCAGTAGCTCTGCACTCAGGAATTGATCCTGGCAGTGCTCAGGGGACCATATGGGATGCTGGTAATCGAATCCAGGGTCAGCCGTGCTCAAGGCAAATGCCCTCCCTGCGATGCTATCGCTCCAGCTCCATAATTAATTTTTCACTCTTATCTTCACATTCCTTTTGCCAAAAGTTCTTCAAATACCTACTTTTTATGGTTCTATCCGCTGGATATCTTAGCACATTCCCTTAGATCTTTTTTGCAAGAGAGAAACCTTTAAATATAAAGATATATTAGGCAGTCATAAAAAAACTTCTTGAAAGCGTCTTTTTTCACTTTTTTAGGTTTTAAAACACTAAAGTTACAAAGAAGAAATGGAAACATTGGTTTCATAACTCTAAAGCCATAGATGAAACAAATTGGTTACTTTTTCAGATACTAGACGTTGAAGGTGGATTATTGAATGTATTTTATTACTGTTTATGTTGGTATAGAAAGTGACTGAAAATGAATATGATAGTGACAGTGACAGTGATGATGATGAGGATGATGTTCATGTCACTATCGGAAACATTAAAACGGGAGCACCACAGTATGGGTAAGTTTTTAAATTTTAAATTTCAAGTCTTCTGGTGCAGGGGATGCAGGGAATTGATCCCAGGACCACATACATGTGAAGTATGGACTCTCCCACTGAAGTACATCCTTTACTCCTTTAACTAACAGTTCTGTATCAAAAACTGGGTGCCATTATTAAGACGTTAGTGATAGATTCTGTTGGTTTTACATTTTTTATCATATCATGATATGAAAGCATTCTTATTTAAGTTTTACTTTCAGTTGCTAAAACTTGTACATCTTAAACATTCTTATAAGAAAAAAATGAAAACTGTGATGATGAATGTTAACTTGCTGTGATTAGCATTTTACAGTTTATATATATATGTATATGTATATCAAGTCATGTTGAACACCTAAAACAAATACTTTGTTATTTATATCTCAAAAAATATTTAGCCATGGAAAACATTTCCTTCCTAATGGTGAATTGAATTATAAAAGTTGCATGGAATCAGTAATTTGTAATTCTAGAACTGAAAGTGTTTTTGTAAAATGAGTGCTACAAACTTTTGGATTTAGAAACTATTAAATTGCTGCTTGCATTCTCCCAATCTTGAGCTTTGGTTTTTTATATATGTTATATGTGTATATATTTTAAAATAAGGCCAAAATCTTGTGGTGTTGGGGATCCTTTCAGTGGTATTCATGGTACAGGATCTGACATGTTAGGCATGTACTTTTATTTGAGCTATTTTCTTAGCTCTAGGATTTTAATATTTTTAATTCAGTTTTTTAATTGATTTTTAAATATCAGAAGGCTTTTGTTTTAAAACTCTCTATCGCTTGTTTCTTTAGTTTGGGGGAGTAGGAGCACACCCAGAGATATTCAGGTGTTACTCTGGAATCGATCCTTTAAAAAATACATATTTAGCAGGGGTGAGGGTTGGAGCCACACCCAGCTGTGCTCAGGGCTTGCTCCTATCTCTGTGCTCAAGGATCACCCCTGTTGGGTTTTAGGGACCATATGGGGTGTCAGGGATCAAACCCTAATCAACTGTGTGCAAGGCAAGTGCCTAACCTGCTGTGCTATCTGTCTGGCCCCGAAGTTTTAAAATATTTTAAAATGTATTTTAAAAATATATTTCAGAG